TATATATTTTGAGAAAACAAAACCAATCTTCATAACAGATTAGTAGATTTTAAAATGATAAATTTTGACACATGAAAAATTATTTATTCGGGGGTGCTGCTACCCGGGACAAAAAGTCAATTTTGTATTATCGTTTTGTAAATTAATGTAGACATAGAAATATAAATATCTTTATATATATATATATATATTTTGATTTCCATGCTTCTGTTTAAAAGTTATGATTCAACGAACAGAAGAAGAGAGGTGTTTGGAGACTTGGAGTTACAATTCGTGAAAATCATTAAATTTGTTAAAGTTATTAAAACTATCATATTTATATTTTTATTTAATTATTAAAAATAATTAATCAACTATTTAAGTAATTTAATAATTATCTATTTTTACTAAAAATAAAAAATTTTAAATTTGAATCGCATGACATGTGAACGTAAAATCAATGATGAAATTATTTTTTATTGTACAATCAAGATAAAAAAATTAATAATTAATATAATAATTAATATTTATTATTTAAAAATTAAAATTAATTTATAAATAAATATTTTTCAGTATTATTAATAATTATGTAAAAATTTATAAACTTTTTTTTTAAATGGAATTACATTTGGGGTGAAAGATTTAAATACCAACCCAAGAATTGAGAAGATGTACTTTTTAAGCAATTTATAGTTGTTAGATCCGAAGATCTAAGTGTTAAAAATTTATAAACTAATAAAATTATTAATCTTAACAAAATATTTATTAACAATAATCTCAACGGCTGTACGGAGCAGGTACAGTTTATTTTTAAAACTATATATAAGTTTTTATTTTTTATTTTTATTTTTGGTTTCTCAAAATACGAAGCTGAGTGATGGCCCAAATGCGAGGCAACTCAGGCACGTAACGGGCACTTGATTGGATTGCGGAAACGAAGTTGACGTGAATCCGTGGGGCTAAAGCCCTTTTGCTTTTTTTTTTTTTCTTTGGTAAAGGAGAGAACTGCATCAAAAAGCAAATAGATACTACACTATGGCCTGGGGGGAAAACAAGTTCCCATCATATGATATGAGCCTCATAATACAAAAGAAGTCCCGGAGAACAACAGGGGCTCTAAACCCTTTTTTGTTTGCCAGTTGTTGTCAAATAATAATAATAGCTGGAAAGATGACAGATATTCTCAACACTTAAAGGTGCAAGAATGGCACAAACAGACCTTTATTACTAATATGCATTAAATATTTTAATTTATGTTAAAGTTTAAATTTTTATTAACATAATTGCAATATTTCTTTTTGTTTTAGTTCTCCTTGTCCTAAAAAAAAAAAAAGAAAAAAAAATTGACTTAGGGAATAAGTGTTGGCTCGGCCATGTTTGAGTATAATTGCAGTTATAGATTTTTTTAATTTTTAATATTTAAAAATATATTTAATATATATGTGTGATAAGAATGTATTAGTTCTGGTTTTTAAAAATAATTAGAGTTTTAATTTATATATGAAAGTTAAAATTTTATCTTGTTAAATATTGATATCTAAATTTAAAAATTTATTATATATTATAATATATCAACATTAATAAAATAATTTTCAAATATATTTATAAGGTTAATAGGTATTAGTCCGACTCTCAAAAACAATTAAAATCTTAATTTATATATGAAAATTAAAATTTTATCTTGTTAAATATTGATATTTAAATTCGGAAACTTATTATATATTATAATATATCAACATTAGTAA